TAGTTTAATCTTTAATATGTTTCAACYTAAATAAAAAATGGATTTATGAAATTTGCAAACCATCAAATTTTGTTTTTTATTYACATTTTACACAAATTCAAACATTCCCAGATATGGAGTTGTGATGCAGCATTGCTTCTTAAACTCCACATTTTTCTGTACGAGTGTATCCCTGCAGTCTAACCCTACAGTTGTATAAACTAATGTAATGTTTTGAAACTGTGATAGATGGAGAGACTGTGTGCACGCTACTCCAAGAAGTCATGGTTTAGTTCACGTGAGGCCCATCAGAGTATAATAAGCTAAACATAGAAGAAGAGGCTGGATCAAATTTATAGTTAACTCTCTGAATTTCCATTATTCTAAAATTAAACWTTAAAGAGGATTTCCTTCTTTTACTTCATTATTAGTTCCCTAGTTCTGCCTGTGAACTGAGGGGGTGGACTGAGGTGACAAAGGGCAGATGTATCCTTTCACTTTTGAAGTGGTTGTGAAGTTGAAGATAGTGGATAAAGCCCATAACTCCATGGAGGTTTTCACAAGGGATTAAAGGATACAAGCTTGGTTCTGGCAGCAGCTTATTGATGGGATCACATAAACTAAACACTGACCTACAGCCTGATAGAGCGACAGCCACGTTACCAGCTGAGTCACGGGAGCAGGCGTGTTGCAACACATCAGTTTGATCAAACAAAACTTTGCTCAGTAGGCGGCTATCGTCAACATTTACACAGAGAGCGGCAGGGATCAGCAGACACGTTCTGCTGTTTGTAAATGTTAGGATTAAAAGTAGACATCGAGTGAATGCCATGTCCACGCTGTGCATCTGTCCCTTCAGTTATTAGTAGTGTGACAGCTCCAATGACTTTTTAGGCCTGCATGTGTCTTCAAGCTACACGCTGCCACCTTCTGGTTAAAACAGAATAATAGACAGTTTGATAACAAAATGAAATTTTGTAAAATGAAGAAATGGAAACCATTACTCAGTTATTCTATGTAAACCAATCATATCATGGGTATCAACACACACACACACACACACACACACACACAC